AAGACTTGAAAGCTCACAACAACCAACAAAACAAGGGAGAAATAACATAAAAAGAAAGTAATGGAATTATATAAATATATGTGATAGGGCACTATATTTTGAAAAGCACTGCCCATTATGAGGACTCTCACTTTAAATACCCCTAGCTGTGGCAACTGCTACTAGAAAAAAAATCCTAAACTTCATTGTACGTAAATAACTACACCATTACAGTTTTAATTGAAGAGGTAGCTATATTGAATATAACATCAATAATTGGCCAGACAGAAATTTTAACTCTGCAAAAGAGAACATGTTCAGGGAAAAAGAGATCATAACTCCAGAGCATTTTTATCCCCTTCTGTGATAGAAATGATTCATCATTATTTACATCTACTCAGAAGAGGTGGATAGGTAAAAGCATTGGGGGAACTGTGGGGTTCAAATCCTCCTAACAGTCTTTCAAAAAGGGGGTTCAATCCCACTCCTTTTTGTTGTTAGTCAAGTCAAATTCAATGTGAGGTGACCCAAGGAACAAAAGACCTTCCAAATCACCAGGCATTAACTACCATGTTTGGATCTTGCAGATTCAGGGCTGTGGCTTCTTTTACGTTCTGTCATCTCCCACTTTTCCTACAACTTTACACTCAGTGGCCAGACATAGTGAACAGTCTTACAAGATAGAGCAGTGTTTCTCAACCTTCCTAATGCCGTGACCCCATAATGCATTTCCTCATTTTGTGGTGACTCCCAGTCATAAAATTATTTTTGTTGCTACTTCATAACTATAATTTTGCTACTTTTCTGAATTGTAATGTAAATATCTGACATGCAGGATTTATTTTCATTCACTGGACCAAATTTGGCACAAATACCCGATACACCCAAATTTGAATACTGGTGGGGTTGGGGGGGATTGATTTTGTCATTTGGGAGTTGTAGTTGCTGGAATTTATATTTCACCTACAATCAAAGAGCATTTTGAACTCCGCTAATGATGGGATTGAACCAAACTTGGCACACAGAACTCCCATGACCAATAGAAAATATTGGAAGGGTTTGGTGAGCTTAGACTTTGAGTTTTGGAGTTGTAGTTCATCTACTATTAAGAGAGCACTGTGGGCTCAAACAGTGATGGATCTGGACCAAACTTGGCACGAATACTCAATATGCCCAAATGTGAACACTGGTGGAGTTTGAGGAAAATAGACCTTGATATTTGGGAGATGTAGTTGCTGAGATTTATAGTTCACCTACAATCAAAGAGCATTCTGAACCCCACCAACGATAGAATTGGACCAATCTTCCCACACAGAACCCCAATGCCTTGAAAGGACTAAAAGAAAGTGTAGGGCAGGCAGAGAGATCTTCGCCYTTCTCTGATCTTCGCCCTTCAAAMATATGTGTTTTCTGATGGTCTTTGGTGACCCCTCAAACCCCCTCACCCCCCCCCCCCAGGAATAGAGTGGTAAAACAGCAACAGCACTTTCAATACAAGACTGCCCAATCTCTCTGTTGTAATACTTTACAATTACCATGATTCTTCYGGTCTTTGTTTCTTTTTGCCAACATTTGTGTGTTTATTAAGAATTTATACCCTGTCCTAAARGACCTGACTCTGAGCAACGCTACTTAGAATGGTGTTCCCTGGACCAATGTTACAATGTGAACCATTGGCTGACAATCCATGGAGAAATTACAGGAAAAGAAGGAACACTTGTAGCCACAAATATAGATATCATCCTGGCACATTAAAACATTGCTGAATGCCCCTCTCCCATGTGATAGCCAAAGCAGAACAGACTTCGAATATGGCTGAGAGTGACAGCTGGGCCAACAGTAGGCAACTGGAACTCCACTGAATCCAAACAGCATTGGGAATGACTTAGGACTTTGTGATGGCATAGTGGCATAGTGCCTGAGCCAGTTGATCTCTGAAATCAATTAGCAGAAGGGGGATATACAGCAATTGGGCATTTCATCTAACTGAAGAGGTTTCTGTAGCTTCTAAGCCTCTGCAGCTAGCACAACTTTGAGACAAAATGAGAAAAATTTAAGGGGAAAAGCAGAAATCTTCTGTGCCTGGTAAATTGACCTTCTGCTAATATCAAGCCTAACGGCTGCATATTTTCTGGAATCAGCCAGCACAACTGTGCTGCTGGTAGATGAGCCAAAACAAGGGCAGACAAGGAGTGGAGTGAGGGAAGGGCAGAATTATGCCAGATTCAAGCCTCTTAGCAGCCCAAGGACATGACTCACGTGTTGCCACACAGATAGGCCAAGACTAGAGCCATTCTTGGTGGAAGGAATGTGGATTCCACTTTAGTTGGCCCAGTCTCTCTTGAGCTGGCCCCCTGCCATCTTGGTGAGTTATGACTGCTCTGTTCATTCCTCAGCCCTGGCACCACCCCACTTTCGTTGGAACAACCAATTCAAGTCCTTAGTTGGGACCAAATCTTGTCAAGAAAACTGATCTAGGTTAAATCAAGAGCATCCTTAAAGGTTGCCTCTTCTCTTAGGAGCCTGCTTGAAATGTGAGATCTTTAGTGCAGGTTCACCGCTGTTCTGAGAGGCTAGGTTGGTATGTACATTCAACAGGACTTTTTCTGCTGCAACACCCAAACTGTATTCCTCCCTCCTAGGGGAATGGCTTATTCCTCCACTCCACACTTGAATTTCCTAAAGGCAGCCAGGAAAACATTGTTTTCTACGGCTTTTGGTCCTTAAAATGAAGGGTGGATTTTCTGACTGCTGGAATTATCTCTCTCTCTGTTTAATGTTTTTATCTGTTTTCACACAATATTTTTATCTGACATGTATTGATTTGGAGAACTCTGGGGACTGAGTATATTTATTTATTTACTATATTTATACCCTCCTTTCTCAACCCCGAAGGGGACTCAAGGCGGCTTACAGATAAGCAAGGAGCCCCAGTGGCGCAATAGATTAAACCCTTGTGCCAGCAGAACTGAAGACTGACAGGTCGGAGGTTTGAATCTGGGGAGAGAGTGGATGAGCTCCCTCTGTCAGCTCCAGCTCCTGATGCAGGGACATGAGAGAAGCCTCCCACAAGGATGGTAAACCATAAAACATCCAGACATCCCCTGGGCAACGTCCTTGCAGCAGCCAATTCTCTCACACCAGAAGCAACTTGTAGTTTCTCAAGCCGCTCCTGACACACACACACACACACAAAACCCCAAACAGATAGGCAACAATTCAGTGCCTTAAATACAATGTACAATTAAAATAAACATTTAGATTAAAAAGCATTACGACCCCGGTGGCGCAGTGGATTAAACTGCTGAGCTGCTAAGTTTGTTGACCAAAAGGTCGCAGGTTTAAATCTGGGGAGCAGAGTGAGCTTCCGCTGTCAGCCCCATCCTCTGTCAACCTAGCAGTTTGAAAACATGTAAATGTCAGTAGATCAATAGGTACTGCTTTGGCGGGAAGGTAACGGTGCTCCATGCAGTCATGCCAGCCGCGTGACCTTTGAGGAGACAATGCTAGCTCTTCGGCTTAGAAATGGAGATGAGCACCAACCCCTAGAGTCGGACATGACTGGACTTAATGTCAGGGGAAAACCTTTACAATCACTATTAAAACCACAGTATCCACAATCATAATTCAGGCCATTTTGATAGTCTTTGCACATAATTCCAAGATCATCTATCGCACTACAATTGTTCTCCAAAGGCTTGATCCCAAAATAATGTATATATTAAATATAAATAAAATCAGCACCACATTTTCAGGGCCAGCAATGAGTTTGTGACTGTGACAGTTGGGAAAGTATCACTCAGTCACTATTCAAAACAGCTACTTTAAATCTGCTCTCATTATGATAAATTTTTCAGCCCACATTATTATTATTATTATTATTATTATTATTATTATTATTATTGAGTTTTAAAGAACAGATATTGCAACAAACAATGATCATTTTGTTATTCTTTTTAGTGCAACTAGAGTTGTATTTCTAGAGCAGGCTTGGTCAAACTTTGGCCTTTCTCCAGGTGTTTTGGACTTTAACTCCCACAATTCCTAACAGCCGGTAAGCTGTTAGGAATTGTGGGAGTTGTAGTCCAAAACACCTGGAGGAAGGCCAAAGTTTGACTATGCCTTCTCTAGAGATTATTTTGACATTAACCTCTCATATTCCTGCTTAATGACTTCATAGCTCAATGGTTAGGAGGTTGAGCCCTCTCTCTCTTCTGAAGGAGAGGCAGGTACCAGGTGAATGAAAGATTGTGCCTTTGGGAAAAAATACTATTCTTTAACATGCCACAGTTCACTTTTCTACTTTCAGATAAAAGAAATAAAGTATGATAGGAATTACAACTAAGCTTTCTGATGCCTGTTAAAGGAAATCCCCCTTCTTTACAGGCTTATAGCCATGAGGATACCAACATTCAAATCATGCCCACCTGAGTATAAGCAGCAAAAGAATCTTGTAGTACTTTCAATTCTGACTCCCTGAAAATAAGTGCTTTATGATGGATATCAATGTGGTAATAGTGGCATGCCTTAGAATCTATCTCAAAAAGTTTCCAAGTTCTGCTTTCCAGTTTTTGAAGGTGAAGCTTAAAGTCAGTTACCACCCAGGGAAAGACGCATATATATTCTAGAAGGCACAGCTCCAACTGGATTGCCCTGCAATCGCTATACTAAACAGTAGCAGTCAGATGCCATTTTGAACCTCAGGTTTGAAAAGAAAACAACCTCAAACCTTATCACTCTACATTGTTATAGCACTATATATTCCACTTTAACTGTCATGGCAGCAGACAGTGAAATTATGAGCTGAAAAATATAAATTCCCTGCCCTAAAATCCCATTATGTTTCCACAGCAATTCAAGTATAATAACATGTTATAACAGTGAAATACAGTATGCAGTCCTGCCTTCCCCATCAATGGTTCTTGCTCCACAGACAAAGACAGGCAATATTTTCCAAGGACAGTGTGCAGACAGACAATCCCACAAGGATGTGGCATGGCCAAGAGGCCCAATGGGCTCACCCCTCCAAGAGCTGGTGCTCCTAGCAGCTGCAGCAGCCTTCGTGCTGGTGCTGCTGGGTGAGTAGCTGCTGGACTGGCTGAGGGCCCGGCTGAAGTGCTCGTCCACCACAGCACTGATGTCCCCTTTGAAATAGGTGAACAGGACACATCTGGAGCTGATGTACTCGGCCTCCGGGGGGCGCTCTTTCTCTGGGCTGCACTCTTCCTCTTTGATGCTGGCAGCAGTGGTGTGGCTGGAGAAAGAGCTGCTGGCACTGCCTCCCCCACTTGTGCTGGCGCTGCTGGCACTCTCTGCGGCTTCCTGCATTTTTGAGTAGAAGGCGAGTTTCTGTGGAAGAGAACAAAAGTCAGTCAGGACCTGGTCCATACACTTTTCTGGAGGAAGCAAAGACCACTGAAGCAATGCTCCTATGCCATCAGCTCTGCTGGACTGGCCACATTGTCCAAATGCCTGATCACTGTCTCCCAATGGAGTCGCTATACTCCTAACTCAAGAATGGGAAACGTAATGTTAGTGGACAGGAAAAGAGATTTAAAGATGGGTTGAAAGCCAACCTTAAAAACTGTGGCATAGACACTGAGAACTGGGAAGTCCTGGCCCTTGAGTGCTCTGACTGGAGGACAGCTGTGACCAGCAGTGCTGCAGAATTCAAAGAGGCACGAATGGAGGTTGAAAGGGAGAAACGTGCCAAGAGGAAGACATGTCAAGCCAGTGCTGACCGGGACCGCCTTCCACTTGGAAACTGATGTTTTCACTGCAGGAGAACATGCGGATCAAGAATAGGGCTCCACAATCACCTACAGACCCACAACCAAGACACTATACTTGGAGGATCATCATCCTCGGGCTACGATGGATTGCTTAAGTAAGTAAGGTCCACACATCCTTCCTGTTCAGATTAAGCTTGCTTTGTAATAATTGTACAACATTGCTTTTCCAGGTAGAGAAAGATGAAACAAAGTTATGTCCTTCAGCTCCCATGTCTTAATAAAATACTCTAATCGCCCAATGGTACTCCCAACTGGAGTAAGTAAAGGTAAAAGTTTCCCCTGACATTAAGTCTAGTCATGCTGTTACCTTCCCGCAGAAGTGGTACCTATTGATCTACTCACATTTGCATGTTTTTGAACTGCTAGGTTGGCAGAAGCTGGGGCTAACAGTGGGAGCTCCTCCCACTCCCCCTCCCTGGATTCGAACCGGCATTCTTTCAGTTAGCAAGTTCAGCATCTCAGTGGTTTAACCCACTGCTCCACCAGGGGGCCATCCAAATGAGTAGACTCATGGAATAAATAATTTATATACATTCACAGAATCATATAATCAGAAGTGGGTTTATTATAGTTGGTGGGAGCCATTGGATTTGGGAGCAGCATTATGGATAGCTATTTTCATCACCTCTGTACAAACTCAGTTTAGAAACTGTTGTACTAAGATTAGTTTCTTAGGGCATTCAAGCCTTTTGGGAAAGATGAAAACTGGGTCAGCTAAGATCCAGTCTCCTTTTGCAGTCTGCAAAGAAAAGTGTTGAATGACCTATCCCTCTGAGAATACCCTATATACTCATGTATAAATCTAGAAAAAATCTGGGTCAACTTATCCACATATCAATGTGAGTACCGTACCTTAATTCTATGTGGTTCCCCAAGTAGAAGGGCCAAAGGCAAGAGCTAAGTTTGTCCAAGAAGAACATGAAAGAAGCACCAACCCTCTCTACTGTGGTGGTGCTTCTGATCATTCTTAATGCTTGGATGGGAAAATAGCAGTGGCACTGGTGCTTTTCTTTGCCTGTGGAATGACCCTTGACTTATCCACAGGTCATCTAAGAGTCCATAATTTTGCCCTCAAAACCTGTCCTCGACTTATACATGGGGTCACTTTATCCATGAGCATATATAGTAACTTCAGTCAAACAAAGCCAACAGGCACTGGTCAAATTATGTACCTGGAAAATTTCATAATTATATTGAAAAATACATTCTGAATGTAAAAATATGTACAGATTGTTTAAACCCTGACAAACTGAACAAAAGTTTTAGGTGGAGCCCAGTAGAGCTGTGATGATAATAATAATAATAATAATAATAATAATAATAATAATAATAAATTTATTTATATTCTGTTCTACCTCCCCAAAGGGACTCAGGATGGATTCCAAACATAAAAGGCAAACATTCAGTGCCCCAATACAACAGCAATACATCCGTACTAACAAAGTTTATACAGCCCAACATATAAATACGAATTATAACTTAATAAACTAAAATTAAATAAAAAGCACAGCCTGTTATAACAGACATGAGACAAAACATCATCAAGATGATTCAAGATGTCTCATAATCTTGAAGAGAGAAGGAAAAGGGAGGAAGGAGTGACTAGAGCAGGCATGGAAAAACTTCGACCCTTCAGGTGTTTTGGACTTCAACTCCCACAATTCCTAACTGCTGGCAAGTTGGCTAGGATTTCTGGGAGTTGAAGTCCAAAACACCAAGAGGACCAAGTTAGCCCATGACTGGATAGAGATACCAAAGACCTTAAAGGCAGGATGCCTAGATACATTGATTATTTATTGTCATGCATTACAATTTACCTTTGAGCAAATGGGAGACAGATTGTGAAGAGAACACTTGATTGGAGCAGTATTTTTGAACAAAGCCCATTCTATGCATTTGAAGAAGTGCTTGCTAGCTGGGAAAAAGCTTGTATATGTGCACATCATAGTATTTATTTATTTGATTTACCACATTTGTACCCTGTCCTCAACCCTGAGAAGGACTCAGAGTTGCCTTAAGTATCGGCAACAATTCAATGCCATAAAAGCAATGTACTAAAAACCCAAGAATTAAAACATCTAAACAATTGCATCAATTATTAAAATCACGCAGTCCAAGATTGTAATCCAGAGCCATTCCAGTTGTCATTGCACAGATTCTACATTCATTTATTACACTGCAGTTATTCTCTGAAAGCTTGGTCCCTTAGCCATGTTTTTACTTTCTTTCTGAAGGCTAGGAGGGTGATTGAGTATCTCAGGGGAAGGAGTTCCACAGCTGAGGGGCCACCACTGAGAAGGCCTTCTCTCTCGTCCCCATAAGGTTTAAGACCTGCAGAGTTTTATTGCTAATGTAAGTTAAGAGTTTCTGTGCCACAAAAAGATTGTGAAGTACCATTGGATTGTGATGTTGTTGTGAACAACAGAAGTGACCATGCTGGGGGTCTGTTGCAGCATGTGCACATGCAAGCACACTCCTCCACAAACACAAATAGTTTTCTGGCATCTTAAAAGCTATCACATTTAGTTGCTTTTTTGATCAACTGCAACCTCTTGGCACCTGATGAAGAGGCCTACAGTCCATGAAAAGGTCTGCCCTGATTCCAACTTACTTTGGGCCAGAGCTTTAAAAATGATGTGTTATCACACTAGAGAAAGAATCCACTTTAAATTCGGTTTCTGTCTCCTGCATAATTCTGGTGTTAGTAGTTTAGTGAGGCTGTTAAAGGCTCTTCCCTAATCTACAAACCCCATGATTCTGCAGCAGGCAGAAACCAGATTTAAGGTGGATTCATTCTCTAGTGTGATGATGTCAGAACCAATATGACACATGGGCTGAGCATTGGACTACAGTCTGAATTCCCATGGAAGCTCAGAGTGACTTGGGCAAATCACACACTCTGGCCTTCAGAAGATGGGAAAGACCTTCTGAACAAATCTTGCCAAGATAACACCTCCCAACAAAGGATTCCCCCAGGAAGGAAGCAGCCAGGCTTTGAAGCTGCAAGGCCATTAAATGCTAGTCAGGAGAGAATGCTTATGGAACATTGCCATACAGCCCGGAAAACTCAGTGATTCAGGCCATGAAAGCCTTGGACAACACTTGCCAAGATACCCTTGTGATAGGTTTGCCTTATGGTTGTCATAGGCCAGAAATTGTTACAAGATGCACACTAATATAAGCACGAGCAATAATGGCAAGGTTACTTCATTTGTACCAATTGGGCATTTTGGGTTCTTGTCAGAATTAATCTCCAGTTTTTGATTTTGTGCCCTATACAATCTGATGAGGTAGACTTCAGCATCCAATTAAGTTGTCACTTAATTGAGCAATTTGGAAGAGTGGCGGTGGGGAGTTTTCTAGGGAGGCCTAGCCGTGCCCAGCCACCCTCCTGGCCATGTCCCAGCCAAAGCATTCCTTGGAAACAAGGGGCTCCCCAAGGCAGTCTAGTGCAGGGCTCAATGGGGACCTTGAGATGCCCTCAGCACTTAAAAGATAGAGAGATCTCATTCAAAATAACATATTTGAAAAGCTTCCTTGTATTTGTTCTAAGTCTTTTATTGTGGTTGCCCAGGCATAGGCAAACTTCAGCTCTCCTCCAGGTGTTTTGGACTTCAACTCCCACCATTCCTAACAGCCAGGGAGTTGAAGTCCAAAGCACCTGGAGGAGGGCCGAAGTTTGCCCATGCCCGTGGTAGTCCCGTTTTGTGGGACGAGGTTCAGCTGCATGCACTATTTTCAGTTTGGCACCCTATGATCCAATGGGAAATTTCAGTGGGGGGGGGGGTGCTCTTAGCTCCACGCTGATTTCGCTTAAAGGCGAATCTTGCCCTCCGTCTAGTTTAACCAACTAGATCGGGTCAAGGAATAGAAAAAAGCAGGCTTTGCTCTTTCCGAAGGAAGCCAGGAGAGCAAGCGGCGCATTGGGGATTCCTCGAGGCTGTGTGGACTGGAAAACGGAGTGAAGCCGGATCCAAGGGCCAGGCGCAGGGGGCAGAGCCGTCCGCACCCTCCGCATCTTCCCACAGCGTCCATCAGAATCGGATTTAGGTTAAAAACACGCAATCCTTAGGCGCATTTGCACATGAGAATAGATGGGGTTAGAGCCCCCGTTTTTTTTTTTTTTTTTTTACTACTCCGGCTCAATGCGATGTAGTCCTGGGATTTGCCCTGCGAAACCGCATTTCCTAGGATGGCACAGCTCTGGCTGCTGAAATGGAAGCAAACTGCATTCATGCTGCAATGTAGACGCAGCCTTAGAAGCCACGCTGTTATCTGACGGGAAGCAAACCGGGTGTGAGAAATAACCTAATGGAGGTGACTAGGAGCCCTTCCACACAGCCCTATAACCCAGAATATCAAGGCAGGAAATCCCACAATATCTGCTTTGAACTGGGTTATCTGAGGCCATACTCAGATAAAATGGGATTTTCTGCCTTGATATTCAGGGATATAGGGCTGTGTAGAAAGGCCCTAAGACCCCTTCCACACAACTCAATAAAATCCCACATTATTTGCTCTGAACTGAAATATATGGCAGTGTGGACTCAAATAACT